AAAATAATTATTTTTCAAAACTACTGTAACCAAATGGTGGGGGCCCTAGGTTATCACATAGGAAATCATGGTGTTAAAATGTTAGGGGGGAAAAAAGTCTTTCCAAACATACAATAATGAACAAACTAGTGTTTTGTTAAACCATCAAAAAACTAGCATTCTAATTCTCATATTCTTGTATCTTGGGAAACATCATTTTTGAGAGGGAGGCAAATGTAACAGGTCTTTTTCTTTTTATGATGAAAACATCTTAAGCAAGTTTTGAAACAGCTATGCGGTCACAGAATGCCAAAAAGTGAAAGTGATTGTGCCATTGATTCAGCGCGCGCGCGCGCGCGTGTGTGTGTATGTGTGTGTGTGTGTGTGTGTGAGTGAGTGAGTGAGTGAATGAGTGAGTGAGACTCTCAACCTTTTCCCCAGGAGATCTGCGGGTCTTTGAGGAGGTAGGGCTGTCTGCAGAGTCCTGCGCGTTCCCACTTACGGCCAGCAGAGGGCAGCAGGAGACCACATATGAAAAGACCCGGGTTCCACCCATACTTGTCTCCAGAGCCCAGCAGGTGTCACTCTTCTCAGCTCAGCACTTAACACCTGGCTCCTCCAAAACAGGGAACCAGGGACAGCGGATTCCAGCCAATGCTAAATTGTTGACTTTTTCTGCCATTTCAGCCCAAAATTAGTCTTAATACTAAAAGTCCAGATACAAAAAGGGAGCTTATGGGGGGACAGTCCGTCCTGGGGCCTGGGGCATTCAGCTTCATTGTTTCCGGGGACAGACGGCACAGCACTGAAAAGTCTGATGATATTACTCCTTTATTCTAGTCAGTTAGTTTTTTTTTTTTTTAATTCTCCAAAAGAGCTTTTCCATCCTTCTGCACTCTTCTAGGCACAGGACTAGTTTTACAGAGGAGTGGTTGGCATTGAGCCACTGCAGTTGACCTGCTGGCGTTTGCGTCCCTGCTCTGACGCTGTCACCGCGTGGCCTGGGCATGTCGTCCGACCCCTCTAACTCCCCAGTCCCTTCTCTCTAAAACAAGCACTAAATTTAGGGCCTGAATGGTGACTCCCCCACACTCAGATGTTGAAGCCCTAACCCCCGCACCTCAGAATGAGACTGTTTTTAACGAAGTGATTAAGCTAAAATGGGGCCTTTGGGGTGGGCCCTGACCCAGTCTGAACGGTATCCCCGTGAAAGGAGGAGAGTAAGCACAGAGGGCGCCATCCACAGGCCACGGAGAGAGGTCTCGAGGAAGCCAACCCCGTCCACGCCTCGACCGTGGACTGCCGGAATCCAGAACTGTGAGAAATAAATTTCTGCTGTTTAAGCCTCCTAGTCTGCAGTACTTTGTTATTTTCCTGCGGCCCTGGGAAAGGACGCAGGTATCATGAGAGAATGTGTGTCTCATTGCCCTGGTGAAAGGAGTAAGTGGAATAATGGATGTAAAGGCTCTTAATTTGGTATCTGGCACGAGATAACTGCTAATAATCGCTTGTCATTTTAGATGCCTACCCCTCGTGGCCGTTTGCCCACCTCTGCTCTTCCCGATAACCGTACCATCCCATACATAACTTCTTTATGGAGGAAATAGAAATTATCACAAGGAAAATGTGCAGAAAATTCCACTACAAATTCCACATACCCGTTTTCCCCTTGTCCCTCTTGCTAAAATAGAGGCAGCATCTCTCCTGAAAGGCTAATTTATCCATATGCCGATGATCTGATGCCCCCAGGTTCTCAGCCTTTCACGGTTATTTCCGTGGTATCTTCCGCCACGGCCTCCGCAGCTGCTGCCTGACTCTCTTCTCCCCTTCACCGTCCGGCTTCCCGAGCTATGACCCGTGTGTCCCCACTTACTCATCGTGTTCACACTTTTTTTAGTTGTGAAAGGTATCATATATGCGAGAGGCTAACCTATTTAAAGAATAATAATAAAACTAATATACCATACCTAGGTGAAAAAATAGCACATTGCCAGTACTTTAGAATTCTAATAGGTACCTCCTCCATCCGGTAGCCTCCTCCCTCTCAGACATAGATGATCACAGGTATCCCAAATTTTCGGATAATCGTTCTGCTGCTTTTCTTTATAGTTTTACCACCTACCATATTTCATTGAACTTAAGCTCCCAACATTATGAGATGCATCATTATTTCACGTCTAAGATAGAGTACGGCTAATATAATTGTAAGACACCACTGTCTAAAAAGATTCATCCCAATTTTGGAGAGATTAAAATGTCAAAAAAAAAGTATGTCTTAGAATGAACAAAATATGAGCTGCATTCATCCCAAACTCTGTTTTCAGTTTTGCCTGTTTCTGAGCTTTACATAAATGGAATCCCACTGTGTGAGTTTTTCTGTGATTGCTTCTTATGTCCACAGTATGTTTTTGAGCCTCCCATGTACATGCGTTTGACAGTGATTTATTCTTTTTCATTGCTGCATACTATACCACTGCAGGACTCTGCCAAACTTTATATGTTACTGTAATTGGGCATTTGGGTTGTTTCTTCTTTTAGTGATTTGAACTATGTTTTTATGCACATTCTTATATATGTCTTCTGATCCACACAAGTCTGTTATGGGTATATACATAAGAATATCAGGTTCACAGAATATATGCATATTTAAATTTACTAGGGAATGTCAAAATATTTTCCAAAGTGATTACACCAATATAAGTTCCCTATTTTAATGTAAGAGAATTTTCAGTGACTTTCTCCATTAGAACGGAGAACATTTTGCCTCTTGTTTAAGAAATCCTTCCCTTTTTTAAGGTCATAGGGATGTGTTCCTATGTTCTCTAGAATTTTGTTCTCTAGAATTTTATAGTTCTGCCTTTCACCTGAGTTAGGAAGTATTCCTTAACTCTTATTCTATTTCAGTAATATTGGAAAAATCTCTTTGCTTGAAAGTTTTGATATAACTCACCTAAAGAACTGGCTAGGCCTCATATTTTCCCTGTCAGATGGTTTTAAATATTAATTCATTTTCTTTTAGGGATAAAGATACTTAGGTTTCCTATTTCTTCTTTAGTAGGTGTTGTTAGTTTGTATTTCACTAAGAATTTTTCATTTTATCTAAGTTTCCAAATTTACTAGCATTTACTAGCATCATAATATTTTATTGTCTAAATTGTAAT